TTGTGTCCGAAGAACTGCATTTGAGATCTGTCCACCCGTGACAACAGAAGTCATACCTGAAAGAGCACATCTTCTTGAGGAACAACCAGAACGGACCTCCCATTTCCAAACAACGCAGACACTGTATCGTCGCTCAGCATAGCTGAGAGGAGACTTGGAATTTAACGCAGGCCAGGGTAGAGACAGCGTTACACCCTTGTTCCGTGTCTCTCCATTCCTTCAAAGACACACTAAAAGAGAAGGAAGAAAACGTTGTTCAAGATAGAGAATAATGAATGGAACAAGGAAGGAAGCAGTTCTGGTGACAAGATGTTCGAACAATAGAAATTCACACATTTTGTGATCTGTTAGCAAATGGACACAAATAAGAGACTATGAGGGGCATTCTACTGTCTCTTTCCATCCCCAACCTCCACACTCATCTCTTCGTCTCGCCCTCAGACCTCCATCGCCTCCTCTCACCCAGACGCCTTACCCGTTCTTCCACGTGGACGATTTAGACAATTTCTTCTTAGCTGCAAATAGAGTATCAGGTAGTAATCTTTCCAACAGCAGAGAGAGTGGGTTCTTTTCACCTTAAACAAATCGAACTTCGGTTGAGAGCTCACCAACTCACAGATCCCAGTGACATCAGCTTGGCCCGTCATGATCATTTAGATGAGACGGCAGCAATACGGGCATGTAGTCCCTAAATTTACGATGCCGACATCAGCTACCATCTGACAGCTTAGCCAAATCGTATGTCCTTCATTTGCTTCCACGCTATCCAACGGATTTATTTCCGAGAAAATCCTCTCCACCTCCCTGTATCATCCCCAGCCTTGCAAGAGAATGCTTGCACTGCACACACTTTACCTCCTCCACTGGCGCCGACTTGTGCTGTCAGCCTATTTGAGGCTGATAATTGCTCCATCAACTGGAGACAAGTCCATTTTGCGTCAGATGTAGAGACTGGATGCAGATGAATAGCTTTTCGAGGTTCGCTGTGCCTAGAAGACAGTTTGGAACTGACTACTGTGTCAGGTCATTGCGACTAAACAGAGCTTGACATTGTGTCCACCTCACACCTCGGACTTAGTCAGGAATTGTTGCGCTGAATGCAAATAGAGGGTCTATCGCAAACCAACTGTCTTTTATGCCCTTCTGCGATGAGTCTGTGCCTACACACAGGCAGCGCCAAGTTTTGATGTGCATTTAGCGCGGAAAGGCGGGCAGGTGGAATGTGTCAAGGACAAGGGTAGGATTATTGAGTTGGTGATGCATCTAGTACGGTGTCAATTGAGGCGCTGAACAGCATACGAAGTGAATCCGTCGATGACCCTACCATGTTGTAAAATAGTGGGTAATCTTGCAGACATCTCCGACAGGGTGGCCGACAAAGCAGAGCAGGGTGAAACGTGGTGTTAGAAACCCTCCAGGCTGCGATCAACTGCTGGTGGGTTGTTCATTTTCAACTACTCGTACATGAAGTGCTGATGCTAGTGTCCACCTGTACACACTATTGGGCAAAGGGTGAATGGAGTGGGTGAAAGGAACTTGAGTCTGGTCAGACAGCCAACAAAGTAATACTTCTCATCTGGTGGGATTGCCGAGAGTGATCAGTGAAGTTGCACAGCTGACCCAACCCTTCTTTCATTTAGCACTACATGCATGAATGTAGTTGCTTGTCCACATGGTGTAGTTGAGAATGTGCGGTGTCAGGAGGCGGTGTGGGCGTTGGTGGCGCTGATGAAGGAGAGGCACACATTCGACTGCACGACAGCAAAGGTGCAGTAGTGTAGGGCGATGCTACTGATGGGGTGGTAGTAGATGGCAGGAGTTGCTGCAGGGAGAAGTAGGGACGATGGTAGAGGAGTAAGGCGTAAGAATGTTGATGGGTGGGGAATGTGTTGTGATAAACAATAAGTGGGTATGTAAGCGAAGTGGCTTTGTAATGAACAAAAAAATTGCAGGCAGGCCTGTGAGGGCAAGGCACTGATTTGGGGTGCATGGAAGCGAGAGATGATGCAAAGCACCTTTATTCGGTCCTTGCATTACAGATTCGTATGGTGAGTACCGAGAGAGCTCGGGCTCCGCCTGCGAGCTGACTCAGTGTTTGGCTGGTCCGACCAGGACCTAGACGGAAAGGTAATTGCAGGCCAGGGTGGTGGTGGACGGTGGCTATTGGCATCATCGCCTTTGAGAGATCCTGGGCTGCCGAATGTTGTGCTGTTATGTACTATGCTCAAGCAGGAATGGCACAAGACAGGGATGTGATGGCACGCACTCCGTCGTGATGGTTAATTTACTAAGGCCCTTTACATTGCCGTGCTCATAGCACTACGCAACAGTTACTAAGAGGAAAGCAAATGAGGTGACCTGGCTTCCTAGTTGGCTTTCAATGTGAACGCACCTACGCCACCTCTTCTAGCTCCCGTATATTTTACCGACCCCACACAGTCATTTTTTCCGGTGTCGCCTTTGATCTGTTTAGGGAACTTGAGCTACGCCAGTGTGACTTGTAAAGTGGGCTAAGTAATCTTGTAGCACTTGCATCCTACTAAACCTCCAAAGGCAAATGATCCTGTTTTGCGAAGCAGGCACCCACACTGTCCACAAAATTACTTCCCGATCATTTTGCAAATCATCTGTGTGCATTTAACTAACCTCCAAGATTGCTCCTCAGATATAACAATTGAGTGACTTTTGAATTAAAACTCTGCACCAATTAGGGATTCGTCAGAGATGACCTTCGTTCCCGTTGACTTGTCAGTCTGACAGTTATGTGCTTTTGGAATTGCCCAAAGGTGTTCTGGCCATCAATATAATCGACTCAATTGTTCCTATGAACTTCTGAAAAAAAGCAACGCATTCAGTAGTATGGTGTGAGAACTTTGAGACAGGAAGTTACAGCAGAGGTTAAGGAAAGGGGAAGAAGAACCAAGGGGTGCCGATGCTGCTAGAGGGGCTGCTGTTGATGGAGAGAGTAGGGTGAGAGAGGGTAGGGAAGAAGGAGAGGAGATGAAGTGTGTGTGAGCGCGGCAGCAGGAGCATCGACTATAGGAATTCGGCCCAAGGCAATGAATGTGAGACGAACTTATGTGGACACCTCTCTTAGCTGAAACAGTGGCACCTACTGCAACAGGACAGGTGAGAGGGGTAGAAAGAAAGGATGAATATGGATCTCAGGACTGGCTATTAATACACCATAAATGAAATGAAATGAAATGAAATGCTCATCTGTATTTGCTGACACTGACTCACCACATCTCATCTCATCTCATCTCTCATCTCTGTCACCCTTCAGCACACACTAAATCCTTCTGTACATCCGATGTTCTTGGTAAATCCACCCACAATGGATGTATTTGGTTAAGGCGGAGGCAGATGCACTGAGCCACCCTCGAACCCTCTGCATACGGCAAGTAATATCAGTGGTGAAGCACTGATGTCTGTCACTTCAACTACACACAAGGTATCAGTAGTGATGATGTTGCCACAGGCCTCCAATTGATTCCACTCAACATTCGTGTCGTTGGTGGTGAAGAGCAGAGTTGGCTCTTCCCTATTTGAATGCATGGAAGGCGTCTTCGTAAAAGAAGTGCATTGATTGTTGTGTGGCAATGTGTTTTATTGGAGCAAGTCTCTAAGTTACATTTTCTTAGTTGTCTGCCTGTTTCATTGTGGCGCTTGCTATTATGCTCTCTCTCACCTGTGTCAGTCACGCGAGGCGCCGTGGCAAGGAGTCGAAGGGGACGACAAGCAACAGAGCATGCACACTCAAACAATCCCATCACCAGTTGTTGAGGCATGCGCTTATGAGGAAAGCAAAGTTGGACACAAATTTGTATGCATTGGTGCCTGTGAAGACGAAAACATGGTGTGATGAGAGGCGGTATGGAGGGGCGTGGAGGTAAGTGGGAACGATTAGAAGGGTTAGTGTTCTCCTTCGTGGAACAGAGTTAGCATTTTGCATGCGCTTCACTTGAAAGGCAAGTAGATGATCGAATATGACTATCAGTGCATTTTATAGCCTGTATTCTTCTGTGGTGACTCTGAATTCCTCGATACACATATCAGTCCCTTCCATCCATGTGCAGTCTGTGTATTTCTCAATAAGTGACAGTCCTACAGAAAGTTGATGCAAAGTCCGCAATCAACTTCACCACCGACATCTAGCGTCAGTAATGGTTGGGTGGATATTCGATGAGGAATGGATCACCTCCCAGATTTTCCAATGCTATCCGACACGCACGATTATGGAGTGACAGCTGGAGTTGCTGCGCCTGCTCCTTTCCTCTAAATGGTGTATCATTACGGGCAGGCAACTCACTGCTGTGCGAGTGAGTTTGGCAACCACTGTGCGAGAGATGGCGGATAAATCGACATTTCATCCTTGCCCTTCACATTCTCGATGCATTAGACATGTTTCATCGGAGAATCCCGAGTATCCAGTAGCACTTTATGCCAGTCCAGAAATGCACAATAGTTTGACGTTTTGCATTATTTAGCAAAATACATGCAAATTTCGCCTGACACTGCTACTTGACATGCCAGTTTGTTACTTGGAATATTCCGACTAGGTTTATGAACACACTCGCCACCACTGTTAGGGGTAATGACATGATGAGAGGCCAAATGGAGAAGAATTTGAGAGTATCTGCTTACTTGCGTGCAAATTCCTCATAGAGCCACTGCAACTTGATGCTGATAACCTCATGATCGGTTGGCATGGCGTGAACTTCCACTTGATCTCTCCTGTTGTGGACGCCGTAAACTGCCTCCTTAGCACCATTGATGAAGAGCGAGGTGGGTGAGAGACCTCGGCAGTGACGCATTCACCATGCGTTCATGGGATGAGAAAGCAGCAAAAGCGTCAGCCTAAATGGTTATAATCTCAGGAACCCTAATACGATTGCCTGCATGGACTCAAAGGGTCAATTTAAAAGACCGTCTGTCACAACCACTACACCGTCGCGATTTGACCCATTGCTGAACTTCCTGAGGTGCTCATATACAAATTACGGAGTGAAGCACTCTTGGGTATCTTTGTGTTCTGGTGCCATGTTACGAATAACTGAATGAAGGAGTGCGTTGAGGTGGATGTGGATGGGTAATTTAATAGCAAAGTGGGCACACGATGGCTTTGATGAATGCTTATGTGTGCATCCACCGAAGTACCAGGCGAGTAACAATTCACCATGCTTTTGGTCTACACAATCACATCAGCATAATCAGGTATTTGGGTTGAGTGACTTCACGTTTTGTGTAAACCTGTTCAATTCCCTTCCCATACCTGTGTACTCACCATCCTCAGTCCAACTGTGAGTTTGCATCCCCAATTCCTGTTGCTCGTCCTCCCTCCAGCATAAATATTGCCATTTCTTATAAAATTTAGGTAGTTCCTTCCCCACACTACCATTTGTATCCTCAACCAAGTGCATTGGAGTTGATTGCGAAGACTGCTGACGCAAGGACTGCAAATGCGTGGCTCTGTCTAGCCAATCAACACGCGGCTCGTCTGATACTCACTCCTACAAGTCATCAGCCCCACAGTGTGGCTCCACTCCATTTAGGTGTGGCGGAGGCGCCTTCGAGAGCAAAGCGTGATAATTGATGTGTGGAAGTGCATTGTGTTTGTGCAGACCACCAAGTCACTTTCTTCACTCTCTTCACCTCTTTCATTGTGGCTCTCGTCATTGTGCTCTGAGCTGTGCCACTCACCTAGGGCGTGATGGCAGAGTCCAATTACACTGCACAGTGTTTCATTTCTTCTGGCAGTGCTGTCACTTGTAGCCCATTTGATATTATTGACTGCCCACCAGCACTTGAAGTGGTGCTGTGAAATCCACACCCAAATCCAATGCCTCAAATTCATTGCTGGCTAACGAGGTTGAGGCGAAATGACACATGCACCAGTGCTCCATTTGTTAGTGCT